TATTGACCCTGTAACTGCAAGAAATACATTTCTTACTTATCATTTAAGTAAATAATTTATATTACATTTGAAGCTTATTTGTAGTTAAGCTTTCTAGTTCTCTGATTTTGACCTGGGACCACTCCTGGTTCTAGTAGCTAGATCACTCAGTCCTAGGCAGATGACAAACGGAATTCATTTCTCTTTTTTTCTTTTTCAGGCAGGCAACAGCTCTGTTCCCTACACTGGAGAGCAGTGGCCTGGTCATAGCTCACTACAGCCTTGAAATCCAAGGCTCAAGTGACCCGCCCACCTCAGCCTCCTGAGTAGCTGGGACTATAGGTGTACCACCTTGCCCAGCAAACTTTTTATGTTTTTGCTAGTAGAAAAGAGGTATCACTATGTTGCCCAGGCTGTGGAACTCCTAGCATAATGCTTCCACCTTGGCTTCCCAAGGTGTAGGGATTACAGGAATAAGTCACTGTGCCTAGCCTACAAATGGAATTTAATACAAAGAATTATTGACCGGGCATGGTGGCTCATGCCTGTAATCTGAGCACTTTGGGAGGCTGAGGTGGGCAAATCACTTGAGTCCAGGAGTTCAAGACCAGGCTGGACAACATGGCAAAACCCTGTCTCTAAAAAAAAAATACAAAAATTAGCCAGGCATAGTGGCGTATGCCTGTAGCTCCAGCTACTCAGAAGGCTGAGGAGGATGGTTTGAGCCCAGGAGGCAGAAGTTACAGTGAACCAAGATCGTGCTACTGCACTCCAGCCTGGGTGACAGAGCCAGACTCTGTCTCAAACAAAAAAAAAAAAAGAAGAAGAAGAATTATTAACTAGGTAACTTAGAGGTAGCAACTGTGAAGCAGCTACCACCATTAGGGCTAGGAGAACAACGGGAATGGTTGGAATTACTAAAACTTAGACGCATCAAGGAGGGGTCCTTGGAGCTCAAACTCAGACCTCTGCAGGTCTGTGCAACTCCAAAATGTCATCGGCACTGTGTGAGCCCCAAATCTCTGCTCACCTCTCACCTCCCAGCAGCTACTCTCTACCAGGCCCTCAAGTCTTGTCCTGCACTTCTGCGGTACAGGGTCAGCTGAACGTCTCAGACTTCTGGGATTCCCTCTCTGTGGTTCCTCATTTTCTGTCCTAGATCCCCAAATCTCTGCCTTAGTCCTGAATTCTGATGTCTGCCTCTTCTGTCCAGTGAGACCTCTATGACCCGCTTGGCCTCCACCTCCCTGCACAGTGGCCTGGAAAGTGTCCTCAGGGAGAAAGCTTGGGTAGATGTGGGGCTCACGTTGTGTGCCCTGGAAAGTGTCCTCAGGGAGAAAGCTTGGGTAGATGTGGGGCTCACATTGTGTGCCCCTTGCCCCACTCGAGGATCACAGCCCTGTATTAGAACACTGTCCAGTGCCTGTCCACAACTGTTTTCTTTAATTTGTCCAGGTTATATAACGGTTTACAGCATGACAGCAAATCCTCTAACATTCTTTTTTGGCTGCTCAGTATCTGAATACCCATCTTTGCAGGGCTCTACATCTTGCCACATCCCCTTGCACACAGTATTGAAGTGAAATCTGTCTCCCTGCAAATCCCACCCACCATTTAGGGAATTTCCCCCTAGAAAGCCACCTTACCTTCTGCTCTGTAATGGCCCACCAGAGGTTTGGAGACAGGGTTTTCACCTTCCTTTAGCTGGGAGGAAGACCATCTATGATTGCCCTGACTGTTAAAGCTTGAGGTTCAAATCCCTGGCCTATTTATGGAGTGGCCTTTGCTCACCTGAGCTCCTGTTCTCTTCCTCTGTGCTGGAAGCTCCCCAAGGACAGAGAATGTCTGCCATTTATCTCTACGTTCAAGAAAGGAATGAATGGATGGGACATTCACGTCCACTTCAGCAGCTGCTGGGTGGGCATATATCTGCTCTGGATGGGGCATTGGCTAGTCTCCCCTGTGTTGTGTTTGTGTTCAGGCTGGAAGCTGAAGAGGAGAAAATCACACCCATCCTTGTTGCCTGATTACTCACCCACGTGTGGGACCTCTCCACCTGCCAGACAACAGAGGCACCTCAACCCCCTTCCCGACTGGAGAATTTGTCCCTACTTTATCCCATTGTCTTAGAGGGCCCACAGGTGTGGCCCACAGTGTTAATTGGTACTCTGGGAACCAGAGAGATAGAAAAGAACTAATGCATCTGCTGGGCTATAGGCTTGTGGGCAATTTTAAAAGGAAATAGACACAACTGATCACCTTCAAAGCCTTGGAATGTTTTCTCCACCCAGATACAGGGGCTTTGATGCCACAGGTTGAGTGTTAGAAAATGAGTCTTCTGACTCAATTCTCAAAGAGTCATTATGCATACATAATGCTCTCCCTACCATTAAAAGGAATGTAGATCATATGTAAATGTACCTCTGTGAGATTGTGTATCCTAACCTGCATTAAGCACACATTAATTTCATTATAATGACACTGTTCACTTATTGCTCCTTTAATGTCTGCATAAAAAGCAGGCACATCATTTCTGTACACATTTATTTCTCAAACATGACCATGTTTTGAACAGTCCAAGTCTCAGGGTCAGGCACTGTACTTTGGGAATGGTGGCTCAGTTTGAGGTAATTAAAGATCAACTCCCCTGACCTCAATTCTCTGACCCCCTCCACGCTCCTTGCCAAGATTCTTTCTTAAACTCCTTCTTTGACAAGGATCTTACTACCTCTGGAGCAGCCTAATCTCTCTTTGGACAACTATGAACCATTAGAAAATTTGAACTTATCAGGAAGGTTGTCCCTGAAAAGCATCATGGAGTTTGCTTATCTCTTTTGTTTGCAAATCCTGCTTTTGTTCATTTAACAGACCTCATCTCTAAACAAAGAAAAAACAATTGTTTAAATTAGCCAGGCGTGGTGGTGCTCACCTGTAATTCTAGCTACTCAGGAGGCCAGGCAGGTGAGGGAGGATGGCTTGAGGCTCAGGAGTTTGAGGCTGCAGTGAGCTGTGATCATGCCACTGCACTCCAACCTGGGCAACAGAATGAGATAGCATCTCTCTTTTTTTTTTTTTTTTTTAAAGTGTTTCCATCACATCATTAGACAATGTTAAATTTTTGCATGTTTACATATTCACATATTTACAAATATCCTATTACACTAGATGTGCATTTCATAATTGCTACTTTACTAAACACTATATTATAAACGTTTTCATTTCTATTAACCCATATCTTCTTTCTCATTTTTAATGCCTACATAATCCTCTATTGTTAGACGTATCATAATTTATTTATGAATGCTCTCAGTGGGCATTTAGGTGGTTTACAATTTTTTGCTGTAGTGACCAACTCTAGGACAAAATCTTCACACACAGTGATCATCTTTTTAGGAGACACTCTTAAAAGCGCACAGAGGGGTCAAGGGGTGAAAGCACTTTAAAAGACCACTCCCGGTAAAGACAGCAGTCTCCAGGTTGAAAGTCATCATTGTTAGTAAGTACTGAGAGCTGCGCTGAGTGCATTACCAACGCTGTTATATTTATTCCTTCCCACCACCCCTGCAGGGTGCCTGACCACCCCTGCTCTGTGTGGCTGATTGTAAGGTAAGGCATGGCATGGACCAGGCAGACGACCTCCTCTGACCACCACATAAAGTGGCCTCAGAAGAGGCTCCTTTCTGGGGATAAGAACATCTCCCAGAAGCCTGCAAACTGGGAAGGAACTGGGCTTGAAAAGCAAAATGGACTCCGCACCAAAATGCTGTAGCTGGTCTTCCCAGGCGGCAAGAGGCTTTCTCCATCTCTAGGAGTTCGGCAAAGAAAAAACAATAGAGCACAAGGCAAATGAAGGGTGGCCAGTGAAGGCAGGAAAAGTCTCCCAAAAAACCTGGTCAGCGAGTCCTTCCCTCCATCCCATGCCTTTACCTGGTAACACATCAAATCCCAGCAGCCACGACTCTTAGGTTTCTCCTCTGGGTTCCCTGCCAGGACTTGGGCAGGATGGGTGCACAGAGCCTGGCCCAGAGAAGGCGCAGCGGCGCGGCATGAATAACTGACTGTAAGAACCTGCGTCTTTCCAACAGGCATTCCCCACTAAGCCACAGATATACTGACCCTTGTGCACCAAGACTTCATCAGAGCATTATTCATATCAACAAAAGGATGGAAAACAACTGGTTAAATAACTGCAACTAAACACTGTGCAAAGGCCACTCTATATGAACACCAGAATATATCACCGTATCTCATCACAACAAAGTCACTGTGAATGGCGATGCACCATGACTTTACGCAGCATTAAGAAACAGTCACAGAGCCAATGAGCTACACTCCCATTAACTGTAGGAGAAACCCTTAGTTTCAGAGATGACAAGAGATGGGGAAACTGAAATATTCTAAGTGGAAAAACCAAGTGCAGACTAAAGTGTATGCCACACTACTGTGTGTGAGAGACAAACAGTATGTGTGTTTTAAAGTAAGGGGCTTTTATAGGCACATGTGCTTTTATAGGTATAGAGAACATTTCTGAAAAAATACACAAAAACCCGATAGTAAGAGTGGCCTCTGGAAGCCTAGCTGGAGGATTGGGATACAAGGTGGTAGGGAAACCCTCTTTTTGTCCTTAGATGTATACGTAAAATCTGACACTTTAAATCATATATTCTCTTTATAAAGTAAAACTTTGAAAACTACTGAATGCAAAATAAAATTAAATTAAATAACGCATCCTTCTGTGAGGATTTACCGGCTTACTATCTGCAGCCAGCCTTGGATCCGGAGACCGTACGGTTATCCAATCCTGACTCGACCACAGCGACCTCGAGCAAGTTTCCGCCCCCACTGGGTCTCGGTTTCCCCAAGAGTCCAATCGGACGGAGGTCAGAGAGCTGCTCTCGGGGCGTCCCTCCAGCTCGGAGCCCCGGGCCTCAGGCACCGCGCTGGTCCCGGGCCGGGGTAGCGGTCTGCGGGCGCCCCGCGGTGCAGGCCCGGCCAATCAGCGGCCGCGGGGAGGGAGCGGTGGCTGCGCGGCGGGCGCCGAGCAGAGCGCAAAGCAGAGGCGCCGCCGCTGTCCCAGAGCAAGCCATGCCGCGCTTGTCGCTGCTCTTGCCGCTGTTGTTTCTGCTGCTGCCGCCGCTGACCTCGAGCCTCGGGCTCCGCGACGCTGGCGGCCGGCGTCCCGAGTGTGGTCCGTGCCGGCCCGAGCGCTGCCCGGCGCCCGCGCGCTGCCCGGCGCCCGGGATCTCGGCGCGCGACGAGTGCGGCTGCTGCGTGCGCTGCCTGGGAGCGGAGGGCGCGAGCTGCGGAGGCCGCGCCGGCGCGCGCTGTGGCCCCGGCCTGGTGTGCGCGAGCCGGGCCGAGGGGGCGGCGCCCGAGGGCACCGGGCTGTGCGTGTGCGCGCAGCGCGGCGCCGTCTGCGGCTCCGACGGCCGCTCGTACCCCAGCGTCTGCGCGCTGCGCTTGCGCGCCCGGCACGCTCCCCGCACGCACTTCGGTCACCTGCACAAGGCGCGCGATGGCCCTTGCGAGTTCGGTGAGTCGGGGTCAGGTCTCAGGTGGGTACAGAAGAGGAGACACTAACCTTCTGGGATGTGGAACGAAGGACCCCGTATGCCCAGTGGCGGATGGCGCTGCCTGGGACTCAGTTTCCCCTTCGGGAGCAGTATTTCTTATCTCTCCTTGTGCTCAGACTGGGGCCAGAATCCTTGGAGACGCCCCTCACCGTAGTAGTCGAAGTTTTGGTGAGCCTGCTGCCCCTTTTGGTACATAAGTACTTGGTGATGTAGTCAGTTATTTGTAGGCATGGTATGTTTGCCCCGTAGGAGACTGGGAGTTAAGGAGGGGGATCTGAGTTCCCAGGTATCCAGCGCCCTTTGGGTTGTTTGAATGGGGAGAAAGGGAAGTTGAGGATGGGGAAGGAGGATGAGTTCCAGAGTGGGGGCTCAGGACCTGTCACCAGGCCATAGCACCAGAGCACTAGGGCCTCAGGTGTGGGATGGGGCTGACCTGGGTATGCTGAGGGAGCTCCATCCAGGAAAAGCGAGACCTTTGGAGACCTAAGATCTGAAAAGATTGTGGTACTTTCCGGGCAGATCCAGGTCTCGTTGTCCTAAAACACACATAATTTGGAGAGTCCTGCCTTAAGTAAAGGAACAAAACTGCCAGGGACTTAGAAACTTATTATGAAATGCTAGGGACTTAGAAACTTAAGCTTCATTAACATTACAGTAAAATCATCTCTGAGTGCCATAGTTGCCAACCCTCTTTATGTACCTTTTGAAAACCAAACAAAAAGAAACCAAAACATTAGCACGGGGATGTCCAGTGAAGCACCCTGCTTTACCAGCTTCCTAAGCTTCTTCCATTACATTTTGGAGAACAGCTCATATGTACTCTGCACGGAGCGGACAGTGCTGAGTTTAGGGTGAGTGAGGTGGCGAGTGAGTCCCAAAGAGCCTGGCTTTTGGCCTGGGGTTCAGGCTTCTAGGAAATAATTCTGGCCTGAGCCCAGCGACCAAGTCCAGACTTCACTGCCTAAGTCGGTGTAATGACTTAGCTTGAAGAAAGAAGTTTATGGTGGGGTAAGACCTTTCTAAGCCTTATGAAATATCTAGTAGTCTTTCCCCTGAAGTAGTTCAGGTAGGTGTACCTGAGTCCAGGAGATGCAATAGGTTGTTGGAGATGGGGTAGGAAGCCTCCTGTCCTGGGAAACGTAAAACCCATGAGTGGTTGGTTGGGCACAGAAAAATCACCATTGACTGTTCCTAGCTGAAACTCCCCGTGGAGGACAGAGCTGGCTGGGGGTGCCTCTGTGCTGCTGCTGGCTCACTGAGTGGCCCTGGATGGGTCCATTCCCCTCTCTGACCGTATCAGCCACAGTGGAGTCATTGTTGAGGTCCCTTTCACTTGGAACAGTTTGTTTCCGCCCTGTGGCACTTAAACAGACCTGTCTCTTTCCTTTTGCTAGTTCCTATCACTCTTTTTTATAAACTGCTTTCCTCAGCAGTTAATTCACAGGCAATTCTCTTTGTCTCCAGACAGGTAACACTTTAACTCCACATGCAGGAGACATAAGAAATGCTGACCAGGTCCCCAGACTCTAAATGGTGCTGACAGTCTCAGCTTATTTGCCCCCAGAGTAGCATTCTCTTCCTAAGAGAAAGGCACCTTAAAGACATTCAGACCAAATCTGCTGTTACTCAGAGAAAGAGATGGAGACCCAGCAAGGTCAGAGCCCTTGTCCAGGGTGACCAGTAAAGGGTGACCAGCTCCCAGATCCAACACCCTGTCCAGTACTCTTTCGGCACAGGACTTGATAGTATTAAGTCAGGCAGATGGTGGTTACCATGGTTACCAGAGTGAGGCCAGATGGCAGATGGCAACTCCACACCCCTAATTCACTGAAAATTACCAAATGACAAGTAAATGTGACAGCCCCTCCACTCTATGGGCTCTGAGGCCCACCCCAGGCACAGACCCAGAGAAGAAAGATGTTTGTGGGGCCACACGGAAGCAACTCAGGATGGCTTTTCATGATCTCATTAGTGACAGGCATCAGGCCTCCCTGGGGTTGAGCCCTCCTTCTGCACCAGCGTTTGTGTCATCCACCACAGAACCAGGCACTGTTGGCCTGTCACTTTCTGTCCTGAAGTGCTGGCGTGGTCCCTGCCCTTGTGTCTGGGATAAAGCATGAAGGTGTGGACAGGGGACGTTTCCTAACCCAGGCAGCGGCTCATTCTGTGCTGCCCTAGAGCCATCTTTTATTCATAAGACACAGCCGGAGCGTTTTTTAACAATGCCCCTGGGGATGCTGGTTGAAGGAAAACAGACTGTGAGTCAGAGTGAGGCTGTTCTGCTTCGATATTAGTGAGAAAATCACCCCTCCTGACTCTTCGGTTTCCAAGCACCTAGATTTAATGGAATGAGGCCTCGGGAAGTATTATGTTGCTCAACAGTGTCGGAAGGGTCCTTACACATGCCTCTGAGGAGCCTGGGGAAGCAGTTTTCAGGCTTAAATTCTGCCCTTTCCTTCTATGCCCCAAAATGCCCTGAACTGCCTTGTAATGAGGGTGATCCTTTGATCTGCACACATGTACAGAAGACTCGCATATGAATAATTCTTACTGTTGGAAATTGCTTTTGCATCCATTTTTTTTTTTTTTTTTTTTTTTGACAGGCCTCACTCTGTCTCCCAGGTGGAGTACAGTGGCGTGATCACAGCTCACTATTGCCTCGAACTCCTGGCCTCAAGCACTCCTCCCACCTCAGCCTCCCAAAGTGCTTAAATTAGACATGAGATGCCATACCTGGGCTGCACCCATCTTTTTACATGATTTTTACAACTGCCCTGGGGAGGTCTCCTTCTCATTTAATAGAAGTGAAAGCTGATGCACATGAAAAGAAATTCCCTGGAGCCACCTGGCTGGTCCCAGCTATGACAGGGCTCCAGTGTAGGCTTGTCTGGCTGTTTTCAGATGGACGCCTCAAGGCTAGCCTGCTAGCAACCTGATCAGGAAGGTGCTGTGCACCAGCCAGCCTTGAATCTTGAGGGTTTCTCAATCAGGATCCACCTCCCTATTTTTCCCAAGGTTTGTTGCCTGTCCCTCTATTTAGCACCAGGCTATAGCTCCTGAGAGGAGCCTTGAAGTATGGGGAGAGAATCCCAAGGCTGGTAAGGAGGAGGCACAGCATGAACTGAGGCTCAGAGGTGGGAGCCCTTTGGTGGATGTGCAAGTCGGCCGATAGGGCCGAGGCCTAGTAGTATGTTTGGGAAAGGTGGAGGTAGGCCATTGCAAGCCTTGGGTGCCAGGCCAAAGGGGGAAGCTTCATTCTGCACTTTGGGAGGCTGAGGTTGAAGGATTGCTTGAAGCCAGGAGTTCAAGGACAGCCTGGGCAACACAGCAAGATCCTATCTCTACAAAAAATTCTAAAAATTAGCTGGGTATGATGACATGTGCCTATAGTCCTAGCTACTTGGGAGGCTGAGGCAGGAAGTTTCCTTGAGCCCAGGAGTTCGAGGCTACAGTGAGCTATGATCACGCCACCGTACTCCACCTGGGAGACAGAGCGAGACCCTGTCTCAAAAAAAAAAAGAAAAAAAAAAGATGGTGGCAAAAAAGCAATTTCCAACAGTAAGAAACAGTAAGAATTATTCATATGTGGATCTTCAATACATTCTGAATTATTGGTTCAGCTTCTCACTGGTAAAGTGGTGTGGCCTTAGTATTGTGATGATGATTGCTCTCATTACTTTAAAAGGCTGGAGTGTTCAGTGTGTGCACCCTATTTGTTAACATTGGGAGCGGGTTAGGGTCCTACAGACAGCAAGTTAATGTCATGTTTTGAACGATAAATTAGGTAGGAACAGGGTCCCAGCCAATACCCACCAGGGCATTGAGCACTGGCAGCTTCAGTGAGCTCCTGAGATCTTGAATCAGAAAATTCACCTTGGTTGAAATTCCAGCTCCACTTAGAAACCTAGGTCTGTGCTAGTGCATGTTACCAGGTAACCAGGAGAAGCAGCGAATGCCACTTTGTGAGAGGGACAAAGAAGGGGCTTGTGCTCAAAAGCCTTTCCTGCTGTGGGAGGAGATCTGAGGCAGAGGCTGCAGGGAGCGGGATTAAGCTGTTTCTCATTCCACATCATAACGTGACTATTAGCATAAATTATCAGGGCTGTTCAATGCATTGATTATTAAACTCTTTGGTTGTGTGCTTTTTCATACAAGCAGATGGGGTCCTGGGGGGTGACTTTTGATACGGTTTCTTTCCCTAGCACCATTAACTTTAAAGAAATCTCAGAGGCATTTGGGAAGATTTTTTCATTCCAGCCATCAACGACCAATATAACTGACGAGGTAGGGGGACAGATCACCACACACTATAATAACAATATTGATGCCTCTCATTTGTACAGATCCACACAGTTAATAACGCAGTCACATCCATTTTCTCCCTTCACCTCGAGGATGTGAGGCTGTGGTGGTTATCGTCATTTGCAGATAGAGGAAATGATTAGCAACTTGCCCAAGCTCAAGTGGTTGGCAGCCAGGCCCCTGGGCATTTGAGTCTCCCTCTGGTACTGTTTTGCTCACCCCACAGTATTGCCTCCTGTGACCGTGTGCATCTGGGTGGCTATCTGTGTCTTACCTGAAGGTTAGCCCTTGGGTGGGTGGATTTGTGCCATCCCTGCAATTCTAGGGCTGTTGCTGACACAAGCAGAAGGAAACGAGTATCAGCAAGGAAGAGCTATAGGGGGATGAAGCTTCCACATTTGCAGGCTGGGCTAGCCAGAAGCCACCCTCCCTCCCGCAAGCCACATCACTCTTGTCAAAGGCAGAAAGGAAAGCCCTGGTGCCTCCCTCAGTGCTGCAGCTCTGATAACAGTAACAGTATGTGCTTGGCTTCCCAGAGTGAGGGCTGTAGTCATGGCCCCTGGTGCCTCTCACCTGAGGCCAGAGGCTCTCATGCAGGCAAGGCGCCTTAGAGGAGACTGCCTAGGGACAGCACACCCTGCTGAGTCCTCCAGTCACCCTGCAGAGGTCTTTTACAGTTTGTAAGGGGTTTTGCAAGTGTGCCTCATAGCAGCCTTTGGGGAGTGGGCTGGGGAGGGAATAGATTCCTGGCCCCCCCCCTTTTTTTTTTTGAGACAGTTTTTTTGTTCTTATTTCCCAGGCTGGAGCGCAATCACTGGTTCACTGCAACCGCCGCCTCCCATGTTCAAGCAATTCTCCTGCCTTAGCCTCCCAAGTAGCTGGGATTACAGGCATGCATCACTATGTCTGGCTAATTTTGTATTTTTTTTAGTAGAGACGGGGTTTCTCCATGTTGTCCAGTCTGGTCCCAAACTCCCAACCTCAGGTGATCCCCCCACCTCAGCCTCCCAAAGTGCTGGAATTAGAGGCATTAGCCACTGCACCCAGCCCCTGGGCCCCTTTTAAAGAAGAAGAAACTGAGGCAAAGGCTGGGACCTGGCAGAGAAAGGATTTGAACCTGGACTCTTCCACCCCTGCCCAACATGCTGTTCTTCCTGCCTGAGGTGGCAGTCATGACACTGAACGCTCCAGTGCCATGCTGGAATGAGCCCTTGGAGATAGTAGGGACTAGAAGTGTCCTGCTGGTATCAAGGATACATTGCTTATGCTATGGGGTATCTTCACAAGAGCTGTTCCCTGAGGGTGATGTTTGGGATGTTTCATTGTTGTGTAGAAAACAGCTAACGTGGCAGGCCTGTGACCGTATCCTCAGAAAGACCTGCTGGCAAAGTTGGCCCTTGGCTGGTATCTGGGGACTTAGATTTCAAGGGATTCCACTATTCTCGGAATTGATGAGAGTGGCTCACTGTGCCTGAACTGTACAAACAATGTGGTTTATGCTGAACACCTGCTTTCCTTCTCAGAGTGTGGAATGTTGGTATTCAGTTAGGTAGAGAGTGCATCTGTGGCCAGCTCCCAATAAAAACCCTGGGTACCAAGTCTCTCTTGAGCATCTCTGGTGGATAGCATTTCACATCGTTGTCACTCCACGGGGAGGGCTCTTGGAAGCTTATGCCTTCTTCCCCCACCCTGACTTTTTCCCTTGGCTGATTTTGCCAGATGGGAAAATCCTTTCACTGTAATAAATCACAGCCTGACTGCCACTATATGCTGAGTCCCGTGAGTCCTCCTAGTCTTCCTGGGAAATCACTGACCTGGAGAGTTGTCTTGGGGATCCCCCAACACAATCCCTAAGCAACTCATCTCTTATTCTGGAACAGAGACCATACAGATAACAAATGTTCCACTTTAGAACCCAGTGTGGAAGTGAATGGAATCATGGTGCCTGGGTTTGAGTCCCTGTTCCTCCACGCACTTCACCTTTCTGAGTCTTGGTTTTCTCATCTGTAAAATGGGGATGCAAGCAGCTACCTTACAGGGCTGGCGCGACGATTAAAGGGTAGTGTACCTGGAAGGGTCTTCTAGGGAAAAGGCAGGATGGTGTTAGCACAGTGGTTCAGAAGAGCTTCGGTTCTGGAGCCAGAGCGCTGGGCTCATAGCCTCCTCACTGCACCCTTTAATGCTGGGTAACCCAGGGCAGCACCACCATCTGGCAGTTGGTGAGATTGCTGGAGAGAGAAACAGGTGAATGCCTATAGGCAGAAGACAGTAAGCGCTGTGCTAGCCGATGGCATAATTACTGTTATTACTGGTACTGTGATAGTTATTGATCATAAAGAGCTACTATGGATACAAATATTTTAAATTTAAAAACAGATATGTTAAAATTAAAAGCAGGGCTGAGAATAGTGACGCATGCCTGTATTCCCAGTGCTTTGGAAAGCCAAGATAGGAGGATTGCTAGAGGCCAGGAGTTTAAGACCAGCCTGGGCAACATAGCAAGACCCATCTCTACAAAAAAAAAATTTTTTTTTAATTAGCTAGGCATGGTAGTGCACACCTGTAGTCCCAGCTACTCAAGAGGCTGAGGCAGGAGGACTGCTCGAGCCCTGGAGTTTGAGACTACAGTGAACTATGATTGTGCCACTTCATTCCTGCCTGAGTGACAGGATGAGGCCCTGACCCAAAAAAAAAAAATTACTATAACAGGAGCATCATGAAATTTTTTGAGGTCACAGAACTGTTCTGTATCTTGGCTGTAGTAGTGATTACATGACTGTATCCATTTGTCAAAACCTAGAACTGCACACCAGAAAGAATGAATTGTGCTTTTTGTAAATTTTTTAATAATTAAATAAAAATTTAAATGTCCCTTTAATATGCTTTGACGTCCCTTTAAAAGCAGGGCCTCTTTTGTAAAAAAAAAAAAATTGGTATTTTCTGCCACAAAATCAATTACAGAAATAGTATTTCTAAGACAGTCTTTCTTAATTGTAGTTGTTGAAAGATAGAGAGATGGAAACATGAGGAGAGAGAGATGAACTGTGATTTACTGGCTTATTCATTTAGGCCTGAAGGGATTGATGAAATCAGTTAAAATTTGACTTTACATGAACAAAAGTAAACCACACTGATTGAGTATCCCGTTGGTATCCAGGTCCTTCTGATTGTCACCACAGCGAGCCACTAGAACACCAGTTAGGGCTCTGCTGGAGGCAGCATCCCAGTGCCTGTGTGGTTGAGGAGGCGCTGGCGGGACAAGGTGAATAAATTAGACTGTCTTTGTCATCACAGATAGGGCTCCTGCTAGAGAGCTCAGTGCTGTGGCTCTCTGTGGCTGTCAGGCAGTGTTAGACATCTAGAATCTCAGTTCCAGGGGCTTTGGTGACAGTCAGGCATGTGGGTTGGGCACCACCCTTCAGAGGGCCCTCAGATGGGCATACCTGAAGGAGTGGACGGATCAGATACAGGGGGAGGAAGGCAGCCTGGGATGGGGAGGGCAGCCTGTATTCAACTCAATGGAGGGGTACTGGGGCACCTAGGGGCTATGGGGCTCCAGAGGGAAACCCTAGGATCAGGAGGTGGGAGTTACAGGCTTTAACTCTAGGTGAGGATGTGCTTTTTTACCAGTGGAGCCCTCCAAAGACAGAATGGCCTGGCTCCATAGGTGGTGAGTTCCCCATTCCTGGAGGCCTGCAAATGGGGGCTGGGTGAGCATGTCATACATGGTCAGGCACAGAGTCATGGGGAATTGGGATGCTAAGGAGCTTCTCTAGTTTGAGACTGTGGTTCTAAGGCGATTTCCCAGAGAATTTTTGGCACCAGCTTGACAGGGTCTACTTCCCAGTCTGTCTGGAGGGGCCAAACTTGTCTCCTTTTTGTACCTTGATGCTCCTGTGTGTTTGGGTGTGATTCGACCCTGTCCCTCACCTCCTTCCTCCTGCCTTCTGCCTCCTCCCTTTGCTTTCTTTTTATATTGTGGCCTTACCCAAGTGCAGGCTTGTGGAGAACAACAGGGCTGTCCTTGAGTCACCAGGCAAAGCCCTGGGAGTTCTAGACTTTGCAGTTTGGTGGCCTGGAAATGAACGTGTTTGCTCCTTGATTTGTCATGTGTTTCTTCATCCAGTCATCTATTTGCTCCTGGCCCTCACTTGCATATCATGCTAACTTGAGCCAACACTTCCACCCTCATTCCGTGGTTAGATCAGCTCGACTGCCCTAGGAAGCAGGGGTGTGATCCCTACCTTACAGATGACAGCTGGGTACGAGCATTCCCTGGCCAGGCCTCCACGCTGCACCTTGCCCAAGACACTGTGGCACTGGATGCTGGGCTGGCTGAGCTTGCTGTCCAGTGCAGGTGAGAGCAGACAGAAATGCCTGGCCTTGATTCTTCCAGCCCAGCATGAGCAGAGTAGATGCCAGGCACAGGGAGGAAGGGAGAATGTGGAGTAGGAGCTTGAAACGTCTAACACCAGGTCCTGTCCAGAGAGCCCACACCCCCCCTCTCCTCTCCGTCACGTTCTGGCAGTCTAGAACCACATTTGCCTGATTTGCCCAGGCTGGGGGTCGACTTCTGGGGATGAGGAGGTGGAGGGAGTGGGGAGGCTTGGGGAGGCTTTGCTCTGTGCATGCAAATGGGCATCTTGAATGGACCGCAGGGGGTTGAGCTCCAGGGTGTATGCAGCTGTTCTGCCTGGCATTCTTCTTCCCAACGCCCTCCATGTGGAAGGAGAAAAGCCCATCTGTTAGAAGATTCTGCCATTGGTGGTGTGACACCAGCCCCTCTCGGAGTCGGCTGCTGTGTCTCGATTGAGCTACAGCAGATGGCAGCTGGAGCCTGAAAGGGGCCCTGGGAGGGGGCATTGAGGCCCTAGCTCTGCCACAGATGGCGTTGGGGGACTTTGGGAGGTCACCCTGCCCTAGCATGACTCCTGCCTAGCTCCCCTCCTGTCAGGACATTTCAGCAGGCTCTCAGCGGGCTGGGGAGTTTAGAGGCGGGTTGCTTGAAACCCAGCAGGGTAAAGGTTATGTCCCCTGTCTCCTCCTCCCAGCTCCTGTGGTCATTGTTCCTCCCCGGAGTGTTCACAACGTCACCGGGGCGCAGGTGGGCCTGTCCTGTGAAGTGAGGGCTGTGCCTACTCCAGTCATCACATGGAGAAAGGTATTTCTCTCCAAGAACTCTTGTGTTGCGCGTGCACGCACACGCGTGTGTGTGTGTGTGTGTGTGTGTGAAAGAGACAGGGAGAAACGGAAAGACATGAGTGGTAAATGTGTTTTTCTTTTAAGTGTGTTTATATGTTTGCCTTTATAGGTGGGCCAGAGGATGAAGATACCTTCTGTACCACTCCGCTGCCTTGAAACTTCTACCCCAAAGCTCTTCCCTTAGAAGGGGACATTGCAACCCTTCCTGTGCCATTGACACCCTTGGCCACTTAGGGACCCAGAAAGCTCTGCTGTTACCCTGTCTGCATCAGCTACAGTGGCTGTGTGTGTGTGTTTGTGTGTGTGTGTGTTGTGTGTGTGAGTCCTACTTCACTTCAGGGCTGTGTTTTAGACAGACCTGGCTGGTAGCAGAATACTCAGTTCTATTCTAAAACCAAATCTTCCTAAAGATCAGTTTTTCAGACTGGCAAGCATCACAGTATATGTTGTGCCCCTAATGTCAACAGCCCTCAGACGGGTGTTGAAATTCTGAATCCTTCTGTGGGATAGTGGTGACGTTCGTGTCTTTGCTGTCCAGCAGAGCGTGCTGTCTATATGTACAAGTAGGCTTAAAAAATGGCTGATGTCATTTGCATAGGAATGAGCAGTGCTAGGGTTTCAGTCTTTGAGTCAATGGGAGGAGGAGGAAGGAGGAGGATGAGGAAGCCTGTGGGGTAGTTTTTATCCAGAAATGCTTTTTCTAAGCCCCCTCCTGACCTCCCCTGTAGGTCACGCAGTCCCCTGAGGGCACCCAAGCACTGGAGGAGCTGCCTGGGGACCATGTCAATGTAGCAGTCCAGGTGCGAGGAGGCCCTTCCGACCATGAGGCCACAGCCTGGATTTTGGTGAGTGTTTAGGATTATTGGATATTATTGATTGACCCTTATAAGCCATCCTTTATATTTCAACAACACGTTGCACATTTCAAAGCTATTCTTACCCATTTCTCACTGGCCCCTCCAGTAACTGTGAGGCAAGCAGGGCAGGTTGCAGATCTGCTGGGAACATACGTGATCTGCTGCTGGGGGCAGAGTGATGGCCCCACAGGGATGTCCATGTCCTCACCCCCAGAACCCTACAATGTTACTTGGCAAGTCGGTGGGAGGGAGGTCACGGTTGCCAAACAGCTGACTTTAAGATAAGGAGACTAGGCTGGGCACGGTGGCTCACCCCTGTAATCCCAGCACTTTGGGAAGCCGAGGTGGGCAGATCAACTGAGGTTAGGAGTTCAAGACCAGCATGGCCAACATAGTGAAACCCATCTCTACTAAAAATACAAAAATCAGCTGGCCATGGTGGTGGGCACTTGTAATCCCAGCTACTTGGGAGGGTGAGGCAGAAGAATCACTTGAACCCGGGAGGCGGAGGTTGCAGTGAGCTGAGATCGTGCCACTGCACTCCAGCCTGGGCAACAGAGGAAGACTCTATCTCAAAAAAACAAAAAAACACACACAAAAAACAAACAAACAAAAAAGATAAGGAAATTAGTCTGGATTATCTGGGCAGGCCAATTTAAAGGTGGGTCTTTAAGTGTGGAAGAGGGAAGCAGAAGAGTCAGAGGCAGACTGAAGTGATTTGTTATGAGGACTTGACCCACCATTGCTGGCTTTGAAGACGTTAGAAGGGGCCTCAGCCAAGGAGTGCCAGCATCCACTAGGAGCTGGAGAAGGGAAGAAAACAAGTCTTCTGAGAGCCTTCAGAAAGAATGCAGCCCTGCCGGCACCTTGACTGTAGCCCACTGATTTTAGCCCCTCTTGGGCTTCTGACCTGCAGAACTGCAGATAATAAATGTGTTCGTTTTAAGGCACTAAGCTGTGGCAATTTCTTACAGCAGCCCAAGGAAACTAGTACACTTGGTTCACGTCACCTGCTGGTAAAGGAGGAAGAGGGCATGTTCGAGTCCTCCTCCAGAGCTCTTTCCTGCCACTCACAGCATTTTTGCTAAGATGAAGAATGCCACATGTTTGAAAGAGTGATGGAATGAGGAGCTAGGGGTCCATGTTGGGTCAGTCACTGTACCTTTCTGAGCCTCCATTTCCACTGTTGTTAAAAGAGGGCTTCAAACTGAATGACCTCAGAGGGGCTTTGTGGCCCTGACAGTCTGTGACTTACCCATGAGCCTCCTGTAAAAAGAAGATCATAATACTCACCCTTTCCCCACGACTGGCATGAGTTTAAAACAAGCTGGTGTGCATACCCCGCTGCATGGTCCACAGCATGATTTGTAATTGATGGAAGCTGTTGGTTGTAACAAGAGAAAGCAAAAGAGAAGTGAGCTGGTTATGGACCTGGCCGTGACCATCTTCGGGGTGCTCCCTAAGGACGACCTCCTCATTCCACCCACAGCTCTGGGAGGCTTGGTGACTCTTCTCTACCCAGCTGAGAGATGGGGATCGCAGTTGGGTGTGTGGTTTTTTCAAATCAAGCACATTCCCTCATTTTCGTATGAGAAAAGACAGGGAAAAGAGGTTATCTTTGGTGGTATTTTGTAGAGGCTTTCTCTGTAGGGAATACTTTGTGGATCATTCTTTGATCAGTAGATTTTTGTTCTTCTTTTAACTTGAGGTATTTTCCAAATAATCTATACCTTGTACCTTTAATAAAAATTCCAGGTAGCTCACAGTAAAAGGCCAGGAATGCAAAGGAATCATTCAGATGAGAGCCACAATAGGGAAAGTGCCTTTCAAGAGGGTCCCTGGGAAGGAAATTTAGCTCCGTGCTCCTCGGCGGCCAAGGCAAGGAGAGAAATAGAGCACGTTTTACCTTATTCTGAAAAGGAGGAGGTGTGCAAACCTTAGCATTAAGAACTAACTAAGGAAGTCATTTTGCTGTACCTTATATAACTGTATAAACTTGCCTGTTGTATTTCTAGATCAACCCCCTGAGAAAGGAGGATGAGGGAGTGTACCAGTGCCACGCAGCCAACGTGGTGGGAGAGGCTGAGTCCCACAGCACGGTGATGGTTCTAGATCTGAGTAAATATAGGAGCTTCCGCTTCCCAGCTCCCGATGACCGCATGTGATGGAGAAATGTACATGTTCTAAGTCATTTTCAGTATTTTACATCCATATTATGAGATATTTGAGGTGGCTTTTAAGACCTGTAATCAAAAAAAAAGAAAAATACATAAATGGAGGAAACCAGGGAGAGAGCAAAAGAAGAATAGGAACGTACTAAGATGAGCAATAGAATCTGGTATATTCTGCACATATCTCCCTCCGAGCTTCCTAGCAAGCAAAGGCAAGAGCCATGAACATGATGCGTGTCCATGAGATAAAATGACCAGATGTATTTTCCTGTTTCTGAGGCTGAAGGGAATATTTCCTCTGTGTTCTTTTAGAAACAGCACTGAGAGGTAGCCAGATAGTGTCATTGTGATAGCATCCATGTGAAAATATTCCCACAAAGGAGATGCCTGAGCTTCCTTCCCGGAGGCTCAGGCCTTGCCTTCCTGTCCTCAACCCTTAGCAGCACATCTCCTTGAGGGTGGGGGCAATCTCTGCATCCCTCTGGCCAGGGTCTCCTAGTCCTTGTAGTCACACAGTTGACAGCTGGGGTTGCATCTGTTCCCTGCCTACAGGTGAACTGGGAACTCTGGAAAGGAATCACTTTATAAGCCAGTTTTTGCTCCATAAAAATCCCAAAACCTTGGTGAGTCACAGCCATAGATGCTGATCACTTGCTCATGTTCTATGTTATAGCTGTGAGCTGGCTATGGCCCTGCTCCATGTGTCCCCTCATTCAGGACCCTGCTGGAGGAACAGCTCCAGTGTGGAACGTGTCCGTTCCGGGGCCAAGCTGCACATACCACTGCATTTAAAGTTTCTGCTTAGATATAATGTGTGTCCCGCCTGCTTACAGACCAATCAATAGGTTTGGGTTGGAGAGGGGGAGTGGTCTCAGTGGGGATGGTGTGGGAGGATGTGCATTTCACTCACCAGAGGCCAAAGGGCAGGGATTGCATGATCCTCTTACATGAACGGGGGAGCAGTGGTGAACAGGCACCATTACCAAGGCCAATCAACAGGTGCTTAATAGAACAGGAAAAACTGGAAACAAGTCTGATAGGGTTTCTCAAAAGCAGGAGGATTTTGCCACGGTTTTAATCATATTATTCCTTTAGCCACTACTGTTGCAGCCTTCCGTGTGCAAGGCCTTACTTCTGGTCTGCAGGGGATGCACAGAAAAACAAAAAGTGGACATCATTATAACACAAGGAATGTGATGTTAAGGGAATGGGAGGAGATGGTAAGGTAGGAAAAGCAGCTTAGAACTGGAGAAAACGAAGAAAGAATCACGGAGGAAGTGGCATTAGGGTTGAAGGATAGATGTATACGTAAATAGTTAGAGGTCCCAGAAATGAGGAGAAAACTATGAAAATGTAAAACTGTGAAATAGGAATTCAACAAAGAATTACGAGATTGGGTCTTAAAATTGTCTTCCTGATAATACATGACTTGTTTTTTATAGATATGCTTCCAGTTTTAAATATATATAATTTTTAAATATACATATATTTTGAGGCAGAAATGATTCTGGGGTGTTAATATATCAAAAGGATACCATCAAAAATCGAAGAATTTTAAGACCATCACTGCTTCCTGGGTCTTGAGTTCCTTCTGCGACACGCAGTATTGTCAGCTCTGGCTTGCATACCTCCAGGCACACAGAGCTCACTACCACTGATAGCCATCTGTGGATTTTCCAGTGGTTGACAAGGTCCTCTTCTTATTAAGCTGGAGTCTGCCACTTTGAAACATCCACCTTTTGGTGTTACAAGTACTTCTTGGGCCTCCACAGGGCCCTTCACTCTCCACTGACACCAGTTCTTGCTGGTGACAGATTTGAAGTGAAGGATCATTTCCCCCACCTTCCATGTAACACATAGTTGATTGTAACAGAGCAGGTTTACTTTCTCTAATTCTTTTTCTCCTTTTCTTCGTAGGGTCTTAGAAACATTGCTTATGGGATGATGGAAAGATCAAATAATGGATCTTTGTGCTTTGTGAAGAGTTGCAAAACCTGTGTTTGTGGATGACCCCTTTTGTATGTTTTTAAAAATTAGATGCAAATTAGATTTGTATGAAGATGTAGTTTTTAGAAGGGCAAACAGTGAGAAACAGATTTGCATGTGGCTTTTTTATATTTTTGAAATGAATTGCTCCATGAGAAGTCTTTTTTTAATTAATCTCTTCCAGGGAGATCTCAGAATGGCATGTTTGCAATTTCTAAAGGGCTTATTTCAGCTGTGACTCTTTACCTCATTTGTCAACGACCTATTAGTGGTGCTCTGTGACTTAGTATGTGTTGTAGAAGGAGGGACGAGGGTCCCAGCTGTTTTCTGCCTGACTGTAACTTGCTGTGTGACCTGGACAGGTCCCTTCCCCTCTCTGGGCCCTGGTTTCTTCATCTGTGAGTATGGCGTTTTAACTGGTTATTACCGGTGTCCCTTTTAGCCCTGCTATCCTAGAGTAAGATGGTCCTTTGGGAAAAATACAGGAAGTTTGGTCTGATATTTCCTCAGAAACAAATTCCATTGCTTTATAACAGGGTGTGGACAGCTGGCTATAGCTCTCCTATTCCTACCCTTTTCTCTTTTAAAGAGATTTAGTTATAGATGGGATGCTTTACCGGACTCTGGAGCACCTTGGCTGGGTCTTTGGAGACCAGAGCATCCATTTGTTAGCCTAGCATTCTCTTTTTTAAAATTTTCTTTTGAGACAGAATCTCACTGTATCACCCAGGCTGGAGTGCAGTGGTGTCATCATGGCTTACTCCATCTGCGGGGCTCAGGTGATCCTCCTACCTCAGCCTCCTGAGTAGCTGGGACTACAGGCATACCTCACTATACCCAGCTTTTTTATTTTGGAGAGACAGGGTCTCCCTGTGTTGCCCAGGCTGGTCTCAAACTCCTGTACTCAAATGATCCTCCTGTCTTGGCCTCCCAAAGTGCTGGGATTACAGGCATCTGCCACTGTGCCTGGCCTAGCCTAGCATTCTTTAAACAAGTGGTTAGAAGCAGTGGAGACCAGGCTTCTGAAGATCAAATTGTAAAAAGGGGGTCAGGTGTTATTTCCAGACTGTAGAACTAGATTGCAGTAGAATATATTTTACTTACAGACATTTTGACCTCACCCAAGAATAAGGCTCTCCTTTTTCTTTTTTAATGAAAAAAGAAAGACTATTTGCTATCTTGTCTTTAAAAAAATAATTAGGTGATTACAATTTTTAAAATAAGAATTGAGATCTCTTACTACGCACAGTTCTTTAAGTTCATAAAGCATGATCCCAACTCTGAGAGGGGGCAAGACAGGTGTTAATGTCCCTGCCTTTTGCAGATGAAGAAACCAGGCTCTGATAGGAAAAGCTGCCTGCCAAGGTCTGAAGGCCTCTGAAAGAGGAGCAGAGCTCAGGGCACCTGGCCCTCCTTGGTCCCCTTTCTACTCCATGGTGCTGCTTCTCAGGGTCATCTCAAAACTATGTAAAGGCAGATGCTGCCAATTGCACACACTTCAGGGACTCTTATCAAGGCTCATCCCAACTTCTAGGGCACACTCTCATGCTACTCACATTGTGCACTACATTTTAGAGTCCTTGTTGGAAGTGAACTTTCTGCCCGTAAGCCTGCCATTCCAGCCATTTCATGTCTAAAATACTGGGTTGGCATCACCCTCTGTACTACGTGACAGAGGAGACTCGCCTGGGATTCTGGAAACATGAGAGCCATTTGCATATTAATCCCTGGCTTACTGTGTGACCCCAGCAAGTCTCCTTCACTTTCTGAGCCTCGGTGTCCTCATTTGAATAAAAAGGGAATGAAACTAGATGAGTGGTTTACAAACTTTAAAACATCGGAACCTCTCTTTGAAAACAAGAGCTCAGAATTGATATGGATGGCACTGGATGCTGCTCTTGTCTGCTGGGGTTTGGGGCTGCCAGAGGGACCTGCTCACATCCCCTCCTCACTCAGCACCTCCCGCCCCTCCCTTCTCCATGCACTGTGACTTATTTCCATATCTGAGTGCCTGCAGTTAATTCTCCCACGTCCTGAATGGTTGCGACATGATTTGGTCAGACCCTTAGTGAAATGACATCAGAAGGAATAGGGATGCTATGGCTCTGAAGAAGGTAGTAGAACATCCCATACCTGCTAATAAGCACATTTTGCAAACTCAGTTGACTCACCTCAGATTTGCCTAGTGAAAATTGAAGGGCTGGATCTCGACGCAGAGAGCAGGGTGGACAGAGCCCATGGTGGAAGTACTGAGCATCAAGACTATATGGGGCTGCCTTTAGCATCCTAATTCTGTGCAAAGACAAATAAATAATTAATGTCATGCTGTCTGAAATTTTCACCAAAATCAAAAAGGTGCATTAACATGAGTGTTCCAACCTAATGGTTTTCCAAATGTGAGTGCCCAGAGACTTCTTCAGAGGCTCAGAGAGCATGTGTGCAGCAGCTGTTATCATATAATCACAACCCTCCTCCCCTCCCGACACCAAACGTGTGTTTTTCTACTGTTTTTGTAGATGACATGATGTTAGGACCTCTGCACGCTGCAAATAAATGTGTCTAAGGACAGTCTTTGTGGTGCCTTTGTCCTAGGAATGCTGTATGGGTGGGTGCAGGTCCCACTGATACTCCCTTTATCATCCCTCACACCTTTCTTCTGTATGACCTCTTCAGCCATGTAGTCCAGACCCTCCTTCCCTCACACGCCTGGGCTATGATCACAGCCCCACCGTTCACCCTGCCTGCAATTTTTAACCAGCCCTAATCTTACATGACCACCTTTGACCATGTGTGTCCTACCGTATAAGCATTCTAGTACCTAATTCACTTGCTGAGACATGCACTCTGTGCCCTCCCACACATTGAGTAGCATTCTCCATGTGCCAGCCGGGTACGAGACCCTGGAAATCATATGGATTCCTCCCATGTGAAAGTGGGTAGAATCAGGTCCTGAACTCAGACTCCAGTGGAGGCATAGGTGGGATAAGGTCACTATCCCTGGTGGCATAAGGTGTCTGCTTTGTGCTTGGAGCAGAGGGAGATCAAGGAAGACTTCCCAGAAGAGGAGGCAGGCACTTGAACTGGCAGGAGCGGGCATGGGGGATTCCAGGCTAAGGAACTGGCATGCAAAAAGGAGTCAGGGTAGAGAAATGCAGTGTAGTTTGTGAACAGGGAGGAATGGCCAGTTGCTGCTGCTCAGAGCTGTGGTGGTGGGCGGGTGGTGGTTTTGGGCCACACCCCTAAATGCCAACAGAGGAGGTTGAGCTTGTTGCCATAAGCAGTGGACAGCCTGAATCTGTCTTCTGTTGTCATCTGGGCTTGAGGAAGACAATTCCATAGCCCGTGTTAGATCCCAAATGTATCTGCTTTTCCTTTTAAATGCAAATAAGGCTAGTTTTTAGTTAAGGTGGATTTTTTTTTTCCTTCAGGTTTTATGGTGAAATTAATTCCAACATCTTTAAAAACACTGCCCTGCCCTCTCCTCCAGGGATGGATGGTGCAGGAGAAATGAATAAGAACAAGGAAATCCAGCGACAGTAAATGTCTCCTCTAATGAATTTCCTCCTTCCCAGCCTTTACCAAGGCCTCATGAACATTAAATCAGACAACGATAATTCTATGATATTTTAATTAATTAAGGGAAATCCAAGTGCTCTGGCGTCTGTAGTTTAATGAATTTAGAATGTAGAAGCCCAGCGCCCAGGGCTGAGTTGGACACCACCGCTTGCGTATGCTCTGGCTCTACGGGGCTGACTTCTCTCCTGGAATGTGAAATCCTTTGCGATCAGGGCTTCTTTTGAGTTCAGCCTCCATTGCATCCAGCGGTGAGAAGTGTGTGGGACCAAGCAGGCTGACTTCCCTGTGTTGCCTTTCACTAATGGCTGTCTCTTCCTCATGCCTACATCTCCCCCTGCTATATTAGGGAGCAGTTGATTCTTGAGGGAAGAGCAAAAATCCTGAGTACTAGGGAGTGGGCGAGCACCCTCCTCTCTTTTCTCCATGCATAAACTCACCCATCACACACGTTTGCAGAGCTCCTCCCATGCACCAGGCATTGCCAGGTAGCAAAGGGTCTATAGTTGCTCCCGGACCTCCGAGTCTCAGCTCAAGCACAGAGGGCTGCCCATGGTGCCAGGCAGGCATGCCCTGGTCTCTCTGCTGCTGAAGGTGTATGCAGTTCTTGATTGGGTGGAAAGGGCACTAGCTTTAGAGTTGGAAGACCCACAACCAGGTCAAGCCCTGTCACAGACTGCAAGGCCAGGTCACTTCCTTCAACTCTTGGAACCTCCATTTCCTCTTCAATCCAGGAAGGGTGGCATCCCTGCCCTGGCCTGTTGCTCTGAGAGCCCCATGTGTGAATGGCCACACATGTCTGTTCTGCCCAGATCTTGGAGGGCTGTGTGCTGGTGGCAGGGGGCAGGGAGAGAAATCAAGCACGCTTGGAGTATGTGAGACATAGTCTAGCAGGACAGAAACATTACACCCATTTCAACCAACGAGAGCTGCCTCAGGACAAGACAAAATGAAGGGTGGGTGCTGTTAGCTCAAAGGGACCAGAGATGGCTTAAATGAGCTTGGAGGAACCGTCCTGGAGGAGTGGCCCTTAAGCAGGCCTCCAAGAAAAAGGAACAGCATGAGCACGGCTGGATGGGAGGCAGCAGATGGCCCACGAGAGCATTAAACTCAAAAAGCGTCCTTGTGAGAAGCAGTCTCTTGTTGGCACATCTCCACAGATGTGGAGCAGAGCTGGGGTGAGCTGCCACCAAAACCCAGGGTCTTCCACAGTATTGGACTGTCCTGTCATAGACAATACCTCCAGTCTCCTCTTACACCTAGGCTGGGTCACGTAGCTACTGAAATGTGAGCAGAGGTGATGTGTTCCATGCAGAGCCCAGGGCCTTCAAAAAGTACCTGTGCCTTTTCTGCCCTTTCTTCCCCATTTACCAGCTAACATGGACATCTCTGAGGCCCTGGACAGGGGTTTTCACCTGGATCTATAGACCCCTTGGGATTCTGTAGGTAGATTCACAGATTCTGTGAACTCCTTGAAAGTGCGCAAACTATGTCCATGTGCATGTGTACATTCTTTTCATGGTGAAAAGGACTATTGCTTTGATGAGGCTTTCAAAGGAATACAAAACATAAAAATGGTTAAGAACAGGTCGGGCGCAGTGGCTTCCGCCTATAATCCCAGCACTTTGGGAGGCCAAGGTGGGTGGATCACCTGAGGTCAGGAGTCAGAGATCAGCCTGGCCAACATGGTAAAACCTCATCTCTACTAAAAATACAAAAAATTAGTCAGGCGTGGTGGCGCATGCCTATAATCCCAGCTACTCGGGAGGTTGAGGCAGTGAGAACTGCTTGAATCCAGGAGGCAGAGGTTGCAATGAGCTGAGATCATGCCACTGTACTCTAGCCTGGGCAACAGAGCGAGGCTCCGTCTCAAAAAAAAAAAAAAGTTAAGAACCATTGTAGGTGGTGTAATCACCACCTACAATGAAAGGGGACCTGTATCCTTGAATTTCCACGTGGAAAGAAAATGCCAATTCTCCAGGTACCTGCATTAGATTGTTACATAAGCAAAACTAAAACACCATTGTACTAAACCCTCAAACTTGGGGGCTCATTCATATGGCAGCTAACATGCTAATATACATGGGAAGAATGCTTGGCTGGGAGCAACTTGTCCAAGTTGCTCTGTCCACATTTCCGGCTAAATGAGGTGGATGCAGCACAGACTCTCAAAGGGCCTCATACCAGGACTTCTTGTTTTCCCTTGAGGGTCTTCCTAACTCCAGGATTAATGTACAGATCATTGGGGCTTGGGAGAATTAAGTGACACTCTCAACCCAGGCTGGTCTGGCTTCTGTGCCCAACTCCATCAAGTGCTCTTACCAAGGTCTCTAGGGAGTCCTGGTGGATGCAGCCAGGGACACTGCTCAGTGCTCCTCCCACTTGACATCTTGGGAGCCTCAGGCTTTACAGGGGGAGGTGGGGGAAGGGGGCGGCGGAGGGGAGGTGAGGAGGGGGAGGGGGGACACCCTCTTCCTGGAAAGTACCCCGCCTTCCTTGGCTTCCTGCCTCTTCTCTCCCGGGTCTTCCTCCTGCTCCTCCTCATTCTCTGCTCTTTCTCTCCTTGTTGGCATTCTTAAGGTCAAGTGCTTTTGCTCCCCTTACAATCCGTTCTCAACACTGGAGCTCCAGTGATCCTTTTAAAACAAGTCATATCATGTCGCTGCTGTGCTCAAAAGCCTCAGGTGGCTCCTTCCTCAGAATAAAGACCCCCATCAGTCCATCTGCATGGTGACCTCCAAATGCCCCCACCCAGGCTGCAACTTCTCTGTCCTATTTCCCCCCACTGGCTTCCTGGCCTCCTCCTGTGTTCCTGGAGCCTCCAGGAATGCTCCAGTCTCTTTCAGTCCCTTTGTCACCTCTTTGGTGAGACGACCTCTGAACACCTTACTGAAAATTACACTGTCTACTCCAGCCCACCTGCTTTTCCCAGCACTATTGTTCTCCATAATACCTTTCACCTCCTGACAGACTAACAATCTCACCTGTTTTGGGTATGGTCTGCCTCTTCTATCACAAAGCATGTTCAGGATTTCTTTTTCTTTTCTTAGTTTCCTGCTGTATCCCCTGCCCTAGAATAGCTCCTAGCATACAGGTGACATTCTGTAAAATGTGTTAAACAAGGAATGAATAAGTAAGCATCCTACCATGTCCCTAAATGTGCAACCTCCAGGGTGGTCGCAGTGAATGGCACCACCCGCCACGTGGTTACTGCAGCCAGAAACATGAAGTTACCCAACTTCTATCTTCTCTTGTGCCAAGTTGTCCATCTGTCATCACGCCCTGAAGCCTGCTTTCTGGCTGTCCAGGCTCTGCCCCCACCCTACAACCTGGTGCGCCAGCATCACTTTGGGTGCAAGCAACAATGTCCTGAGTGGTGCTGACTCCGGGTGAACTCCCTCAATCTGTCCTCCATGTCAATGCAGAGCCAGCATTGGAAGCTGAATGTGATCCTATCACTTTTTTTAAAAAGCCCATGGGGGCAGCCAGGCACAGTGGCTCACACCTGTAATCTCAGGACTTTGGGAAGCTGAGGCAGGAGGATTACTTGAGGCCAGGAGTTCAAGACCAACCTGGGCTACATCGTGAGATGCCCCCCATCTCTACAAAATATTAGAAAATTAGTCCAGCATGGTGGCACACACCTGTAGTCCCAGTTACTCAGGAGGCTTAGGTGGAAGGATCCTTTGAGTCCAGGAGTTTGAGACTGCAGTGAACTACGATCGAGCAGCTGCGTTCCAGCCTGGGTGGCAGAGGAAGACCCTGTTTAAAAAAACAAAAGCAAAACCAAAAAGTACCCTCCCATTGCTAGGCCAAGTGTGAGCTTTCTGGAGGGATGTACAAGCCCTTCGCAGTCCAGCCCTTGCCTGCCCTTTGCCCTCAAGCTTTTCCTCCCTGCCTCCTTCCTCCTCATGGGAAAACTTTCCCTTCCTCCAACCCTTCATATTTGTCAGACTCCAGGAGCATCCTTTCCTTGCCCCTCTGGTCCCCTGCTA